CTAGCTGGGGCAGAGGGCGTCCACAGTAGATCGCCTGTATTCAATATCGATGTATGTAAATTCAAGCTCGCAATTTCCAAACAAACGTTTCCAAACAATATATTGATGGGAGAAATTCGATAAAATAAATTCAATTTTAGAAATGCTTGCTCTAGGTTAACCTCGCCTTTGTACACGTTTTTTGTCATTGGTTGCAATTTTGTGTATTATATTGTGTGTACAATAATGGAAACAAAAACTTTTTGGACAGTTTTCAAAATGATTAAAATTTAACGTATATAAGTTTCGAACGGTAGACCTGTCTACCCAATGTGCGCACTTTGGGTAGACAGAAAGCAGAAAATAAATAACTGGTTATAAATATTTCATTAGTTAAGGCCGCTTCTATACATAATTCAGTTCGCACTTAATTTAGTTTTAATGTTATATCGAAGTAAAATTTTAAGTAGAAAGATAATGTACACTAACATCATAGTTTCAAAATTTTAGGTAAAGTGTCTAATATGATAAAAACGAAAGTGTGTTTTTGCCAATTTTATTAACTAGGCAAACGAAAACTTCATTTCTCATGACTGGTTCTTGTAGAACTATTTATAATAGTATAGAACAGAGGCAACCACTTGGCGTGGTCTTCAATCAACTTTATTAATAATTGGTCGCCACGATGAATGATATTGCATAATTTCTTAGATCTCGGAATATTAAAGTCAGACGAACGTAATGTTCAAATGAAAATCTTCATCGCCTATCTATTACTGAAGCTAAGAGATTCCACGAAGAATGAAAAATAGATGAAACTTGTTTGCGAAGAACAGAAAATTAGAACTAAGATGATATTTTCAAATTTAGAACATTCCTTATTTCGGATTAGACCGTCATCTTTGGATTCGCGAAAAACGTTCATTGTTATGTACAAGTTTAACGGATTTCATTGCACTTAAATATCACTGTAATTTCCGACCATCTGAGGGGACGTCCAGAGAATGATTTGGCAGGTACGTCCGGAAAGGTACTACAGGAGTGATAGGGGCCCACTTTTTAATGGTTGAGATGCATCTACACTCGATCAGGTGTTGTAGATGTCCACTTAACATCAAGTAAACCACTGGCTCGACGACCAACTTTCAATATAAAAAAATACCTAAAAGCTCTTACGGCTTTGACTGGTTGTTCTATTGCATTAATTGAGACAGTGATACATTTTTTTTTGTTTTTTTTTAAAAACATCGCCCTTAGTTTAGGATAACATTATACTGTGTTGTAAGGACGTTTTACAAACATAAATTTCACGCGGACAAACACCCAGATGCGAAACAGCTATCTGTGGGTCACAGAAATAGTTGTCCCGTGTGGGAATCGAACTCACGATCCCCGACGCCGAAGCCAATACCTTGGCAACTACGCCACGGAGTCATGCCTCAAAAGATTCAGAAAACAAAAAATGTATTGAGCTCACTTGAAAAGTTAACTGGATTAGGATTCGAAGCTGCGAAATTCCCGAGTCAACGTCTCCGGTCATCAACAAAGTCCACATCATAATACTGCAAATAAAAATCCCGCCCCGATAACCTACAACCATGTGCTTTTTGTCCACTGGATCGTAAACCCAAAAAGTTTAAGAACATCTGTTCTTATCAAATGAACATCGTAAATATCCGTGTCGACTGTCATAAGAAATATAAAATTGGGCGTACCGAAAACACTGACAATGGCCATAAATTCACATACGGCCGACCGCTTTCGAATAAATAATTGGAACGGCGCTCACCTATACATTATGATTTATCTCGCGGACAATTCGGCAACGCGAAGACATTTACATCAACGAACCATTCCGACCCGAGCGTTAGGAAATTGATTTTTCAACATCCAGTATATTATTTGTTTGACATTTCTTTTTGATCACTTATACGAAACCTCGATGTCCGCCGCTTTATGAAATAACTGTAAACGGTTGAAACACGATGTTGCGCCAATTATTTCATACGCTTACAACGTTATTTAATAGATAGTAGGGAAATAAAACCATGTCGATAAGTATAATAGTATAAGTAGAATTGTACATTATTATAGATACAATTTTATGCATAGCTACTAATATAAAGTATATTAGTACAAATTAAATTGTATCCAAAAATGCCAACGATTAAAAAGGATGCCTTTCCAAGACTCATGGGTTGATTACCTAATTGTTGAGTCGGTGTACTTTGACTAAACCCAACAAATTGATAGAGACCTAACAATCTGTCTGATGAGTGAACGGCGCTAATCATAACAATTAATACAATATATTTGTTCTGAAACAAATGACAACTAGGCCTAAGCGGCGGATCGTCTCCCTAATTGCCTTATGGATCTGGCCTTTTATGGCTTATGGATTTTAGCCCTTTATGGCTTATGAATTTGGCCTTATGGATCCTTATGGATTTGGATTTTGGCTAGTAAATTAATATTGTGTGCCTAGCCTGAGGCAAGTATTAATTTTAAGGGAGGCATGGCATTTTATCATTAAGGGTATCGGTGCAAATGTAAGCCTTATTATAAGTGTTTCACATTGTATATGAACATTTAAATCGGCTAATGTAACAGCAGACGCAACTGCGTAGCTCTATCAGATCAGATGAGCTTGATGCAACATGTCATCTCCGTCCCGTTAGGTAAAGACGTGGATTATCGAATAGGGGAGTGTATCACCCCCATCATTAACATCATACGCAAACGTTTCTCGGTCAAGCCCCTATTTAGGTGCTAATGTGGCCAGCCACTTGCCTGACGTCAACCCTTTCATGTATAGGTATACATCTCATATAGGTTGTGACATATATTTTTCAATATATCACTCAATCTAAACGGAATACCAATAGATGTATACCTATTAGGCCTACTAGGCCCTACTAGGCCCCATCCATGTAGTCCCGAGAGCTGGAACTCCTGACCGCCCAAGGAAGCGATGGCTGGACGTTGTGAAGCAGGACATGAGAGCCAATGGACTGACCCATGAGGATGTCGAAGATCGGGCAGAGTGGAGGAGTTTAAGTAGGAGAACAGAAGCAGACCCTGACAATTGCTGGGATAAATGCTAGGTAGAAGAAGACACGTAAAGATTTTGAAAGATTAAATTAATTTTGAACTGTATGGATATTTTTCATTATTAGCGGGAAACATAGACTCAAACAGTTTGTTAAAGTTTTAAGACAGAACTGGCGTAGCAGCAGAAAAAATAATTTAAAATATATTATTATTAACTATATTATATTGAAAAACGCATACCATTTCCATCAGGCGACTGAAATGATAAATGACTATATGAAATAATGGTGATATTAAGCATTAACGTTTACTTATTAACCATAAAAGTTGTCACTTAATTTCACAAAGAATTTCAACAAATAAACCACATAAAGGTTTTTACCGCGCAATATATCTGTCGGATCGCATTACGAATTTGTCAGTAAACTTTCGTATGAAAGTAACTTCCGTTTGACGACCGCAAATTCTGTGGACATCTCAGCATCAAATCTTTCGCAGTGTGTAAATAAATCGCGCGCTCTTGTATAATCTTGACCGAGATTCGTGAGATGCGCTCCGTGTATCAATAAGTCCACGTCAACGGCCCGCGACATTACTGGAAGCCTCTGGGGTCGATTAACGAATCGAATATAGGTTATGTTTCTCCAGTCCAGATAGACACTCTTTTCTCTTATTTTTATTAAGAAACTGGCCAATGCTGAACTATTAGTTTCGTCTTAGTTAAAACGATTGTCAGCCTATTGCCTGACGCTTAAAGAACTTAAACTGTACTATATTCCACTTTAATCCTAAAGTGAAATATAGTGGAATATGTACATTTGACCATAGTTAAGTTAGTTTTTAAATATCCCCGAATATCAGAAATTAATGCCATAAAAGAGGAGAACATATGTATGAGGTACATAGCTAACTCTTAATACAAAGTACTGAACAATGTTATAATATTTAAAAAAAAAACAATTTTCCTTGCAAAATAGGAGTCAATAAAAGAAAGGTTATTAACACAAAAGCGAATAATAGTAGAAAAAAAAGGCGCTGCGTAGAGGATAAGTTCCCAATATAACATTAAGACGGTTTATAAAGTATATATGAAAAAAATCACTAAAAACCTCATTCACCATTTTCATCCATCACGAAAATGAAATCGGCCGAAAAACAATTTATTTTAAACCAGTGCAAATAAAGCGGATCGCTACACCCATCGAGTTGCTTCAGTTTCATTGTGGCGGGAAATTTCTCGTGACAGCGTAAACTTTGCAAACTTCGAAACATTCGCAACGGGGTCACCTAGAATCGGTGGTGGTGTCACGTTGCGCAATAATAGGCTGGTTGAGTGGAAATATATGAGATTTGGCACCGCCGAGCGGTGTCGGCCGCTGTTCGGCTAATTTGCTCCAGGCCATGTCGCGGGACGTTTTATTGTATTCAGGCCATACGTCTGAGAGATTTATTTCGGTTTCGAAAGTACACAGTGGTCGTTTGGGGATTTCACCCTTGGTTTCAATAACTCCACTTACTCAATATCCGATGTGTACTTATTTGAACCAAATCAATCTAAACGCAAAATTAAAAGTGAACTTATTGCCAAGGCATATTATACCATTACGGAATATCTCGACGAAGCCAATGTGTGGAGTTAATACTGTTGATATTCACGTAGGCTAAAATAAGACTATTATACCCGTACCATATTATACTGTAAACTGATATTATTAAAAAAGAAGCAACTGTTTACTTCCTTGCCGGTTTCTACCCAACAGAAACTGCTTTCCGAACCGGTGGTAACTTACGAACGTATTAATTTTTATGTAAAATTTTGACGTTTCATAAGAGCGCGCAAGCGTCTATGTGAACAAAGATAATTTGAATTTTGAAAATGCTGTCAGATCAACTTTCAAAGCAAATGCGTTCTTTAAGGAATCGGAATGCCGCAAATTGGAGGTAACCCAACCATTGAATGCTTCCTTTACCTTTCTCCGTTGTCAGCTCTGCTCGTCTTCGCTTTGCTCCTCGGGTGGTTCTTCTTCGGTCGGACGGCTAGCTTGTGCTTGGCGGCGGATGCGTCCAGGAGTTGCGCCGTGACGTCCAGGTTCGCGTCCATCCGCGGCTTCCTGGCGGACGTGAAGGGTTAGATAGTGGAGACATAACATGCGTATTTACTCACTGGGGCTTACGGTCAAGTGCTTGTAAACGGGGGTAACACAAGGACTGTAGAGTGTTTATAAAAATTTCTGATGAAATACCAAAAAACAATGTACATTAAAGATTTAATCGGTGTGGCAATCATCCGTTTAGCTTAATGGTTAAATAGTCTGGGCGCGAATGCCGAAGACGTGGGTTCAATTCCCACAGCGGCGGCAATCTTTTCGTACTTTTTTTTAAATATTTCAAACCCACGTCGGGTTCGATTCGCACTGCGGTGAAATCTTTGGTACCTTTTTTGTTTAATCCTAAGTGCAGAGATTAGCACTATAATAACTTAAATTTCTGTTGAGCTTGATCGCGTAGCGTTTGCGTATGATAACTGTTTTGAATTGTGTCTGATTGACAGAGTCATTAAATTCTATAGGTCTTGTATAGCTTTCTCAGCTAAAACGCACCAGAAATAATTGGAGGGGATGTTGTTATTAAAAATAATAATAAAAGAAAGATTAAAATAGCAGAATATCATTACTTTTTCTTTATTATTTGTAGCGTTATCGTAGCAGAATATTTTTTAAATATTTTTTATGTTGTTACGTATAAATGTTTTCACTTCCAACTCTTAGTATGCCAATCAGGAAAGGTCCTGTGATAATTTATTGGTTTGACTCACTATTCCGTGCGCTCGACCGAACTAACATAACTATGTCTTATTGTTGGAATCAAATTCAAATTTAAATACATTATTAGTAGTACAGTAGAATTTTACAAGTTATTGGTTGACCCACTTCTCTTTTACTTCAGGAGGGAAATTTATATGACGTAACTATGTATTATTTTGATATACAATCGCTTATGGCCGAACCCTTAAAAATTCCCCCTAGAGTTAAATATACCTAACATTGTTTTTGCCAGTTTATTCACCGCCATCAAGAACCAGTTGATTTTCATAACATTCTACAGATCGCCAGACAAACGCGTTTTGCGTGATTCAGTTTTCTTTCACTCATCGCGATACTCGACTTTCCCAGTAAACTAATCACTGGCAGACAGGAATCTATGAATTTTGCACCTGTATGGAGGTCACTGAACCTCTCAGAAAAATGTACAAAAAGTATAAGAAACAAAGGTTTTGTTACTGCTTTCATAAACCACAATCAAAAGTTAATTTTTTTTAACCATAAAATATTTCCATGTAGCCAAAACGCAAGATTTTGATCAATCATATATTTTTTTTCTAAAACTCTTTCCGAAAAATACGTGTAATTTATATTATACGCTTCCTATTGTGGATACTTGGGCGAAGTTTCGAATTGTTTAATTGTTATTGACAGGAAGGTTTATCTTAATCATTAACAGTGACGTAACCTAGCCTTGGATATTTACTTAACTAAAAGGGGAAAAGGGGAAACATAAAACGGTTAAATATATAATTATGTTATCTATGATACTTATAATATAGTTTTCAAAGCCCTTTAACGTTTCCTTTACCTATCCTGTTTCCAGTGCAAAGTCAATAAAACTTTAATTAGTGTTTAAAGGGATTAAAATAGTTTCTTTGTCAAGTTAAACAAGTTTCACTTTAATTGAATGCTAGTTACGATTTGATCGTATTCTCTGAGTTGATTTTTTACATATAACACATCGTGATTTTTAGAACGTGCAAAAACTTTTGTCTGAAATGACCTTGCACTGATGGTATATACTCGTACGTCATGTTGGTTTCATTGACACTATATTTTACTTTCCCTATTTTCCGTAAAAACCGTTTCAATTCTTAGAAGACTAAACTACATATTGAATTTTTCTCGTACTGTATAGCTTTTTAATTACCCTCCAAAGTTCAAGTACAGAAAAGTATCCCACTTTTGATGGAATCAAATCTCTTTTGTAATGTCAAACAGTTTCGGGAGAACAAAAATCAATCCTTTGCCAATTTCAACAAAGCAATTCGCGACGGAGTAGAAGACAGGATGTCGTGGACGGGGACTAAATTTAAAAAAGCAATTTCTCAAATATTATAAATACACAAATCGGCGATTCGCCGAGCTCTTGAGTGGTGAAAATAGCGTCTTCCGAGCGGCGAGTGTTTCCTTTCCATCAATCACGGGCCTACGCTGTCGAGGTGACGCCAATGTCAGGGTCTGACAACTCTCCTATTACCTTGGTCTGTTTTTTGTAGCTCGTCCACTTAGTGCCGCTCAAGACGGGAATAGCGGTGCAGCGGGTTTCTTTAATTTTGAAATTGGCACAGACATAAATGCTGTTGATAGGAAATAAGGTCTAATGTTTGATCGGCCTAGATGCAAAAGCGTGTCTGTTCTGTTTCCATTCCACGGAATACATACACAATACAATATACAAAATAAAGAGTAGTCTTATCCTTAGACAGGGATAGCATTTAAGAGAAATATGAAGAAAGGTGAAGTGTTAAATGAAATAAAAGAAAAGAGACTATAATTGTTAATCGTATAAAAGAAGAGAGCTATCTACGACAACCTTATACCGAACTTCGTTGACTGTAGATAGAAAACAAGAGGATGTAGCCGAATGTATTCATTAACAACAAGATTCTTGTTGATAATGAATAAATTTAAGAATTATGTAGCTCCAAAACTGATGTTACTCTGGTATAAACATATAATAATATCTTTTCCTTTTCATCTTATAGTTAAATAGGTCGGTGAAAATTCTTTTTGTATTTTGTGTTTGTAAGTTTATAGTAAAACCTCTTTGGTTATACTTTTTGTATCAGACAGGTTTTAGAACCATTATATATATGACATGTTTAATGGTTTATATCTTAATATATGACATATATTATGCATCTTTGTGACCCCAGCGTATGCAACAGAGACAGGTGCTACGCAGTTTTTATTTTAGGTTAAACTAAAGTTAGGTATTTTGAAGTTTCAGCCACCCTTTCAGCGGGTCGCGGCGTATTTCTTCTCTTACACTTAGTTTAATTTGTATTATATCTTCGCCTATACATTGCGTGGACTCAGCAAGTAGCTGACGAACATTAAGTTACTTGGATCGAGCGCCCGTTGAGTTATTTCAGGCTGCCCCAGAAACGGAGTGACGTCAATACTGGCACAGTTTCCAGCTAGCTAGCTGCAGACCGCTCCAGAACATTTGTCGTTGGTACTTTAAGCCTTTCGTTGTTGGGGATTTTACTTTCAAGAAGTTTGGAGTTGTGCCTATGTATATTAAACTAATAATATACATAGTATAATACGTATAAATCAAATAAATTTTTATTGATAAATAACATAAGACTCAAACTGATCTGTACAAAGTACTCGTATAATATATTTTTTATGCCTCAGTGGGACTTTCGCAGAAAGAGGCAAACGAGCCGGCGGTTCACCCGATGTTAAGTGATAACCGCCGCCCATGGACATTTGCAACACCCGTAGGATTGCAGATGCGTTGCCACCTTTAAGTAAAGTGGGCTCCGGATGCCTCACTCACTAGACGAAACGAATTAATTCATAATACTAGTGGTCACCCACTAGTCTAAATTCAACCATAATTAATTATCAAATGAAGTGTATGTAATGTCTTTAATTGATATAATGTATTTTTCATGCATAATTTAAAAAATAATATTGGCATTCTGCACTCCTGATATGAACTAAAACTGTGGTAAATTTCATACTCCTCCGCCCGCCCAATTTTTGTAAAACAGGGTAGAAAGTTTTTGCTTCACGTATTTAATATATAGATGTTTCTTATTATTCTTGATATTCTGGTAAAGATAAACGCCTAAAGCTGTTTCAATATTTTTAATTAATAGCTCTATATCTTGCTTACTGCGACCTCGCGCAATGCTACAGAAATTTTCACTTTAGACAATTTCTTTACAACCGGAGTTCGTTCCAGACGTTCTTTACAACCAATAACAGGACCAAACTCTCCCGACAGGTTGAAGCGTTATATGCATTAATCGTGAATAGACAATTATGCAGATCTGGAGTCATTCCATTCCGTTTTGTAGTTTTATACGGTGTTTATACCTGTAGCTTGCATCTGCCTTAGATAGAGATAGATGGCTCTAGTCCCAGAGTAAGGGAGAGTAAGAGTTGTCTCTATATTCTAAATTTCCTTTGAATCAGCGCTTTAATATAATTTTTTGTGCTACAAAGTCGAGAAACTGTCTTGCAAAAATGTAACTTTTCATCTGGAAATAAACAAAGCTAACCAAGAAACTTAATTTAACTTTTACTGATTAAATCACATTAGATTTGAACTTCTCTTTATAACTATTGTTACGGGCACGGCCTGTAACAATATAGGATGCGCATTTGTGTAAAAAATTATAATTTTAACAAAACTACTATAACCGAGAGCGACAAATCCAGGTATTGTCATTGAGTATTTTTAGTAAAATAAAAGTGAAACTAAAAAAGTGAAGTAAGCAGCGTATATTAGTCCCACGGCTGGGCAAAGGCTTTTGTCTTTAATTATGAATAAATGGCTTAGGTCTTTCAAGAGGGTAGTTCATAGTCCACCACGCAACCCCACTGCGTATTGGCGGACTTCACATATCTTCGAAATAATTTTTTTATTTGAATATATTCATGTTTCACGATGTTTTCCTTCACCGCGGAGCACGTGATAAGTCAGCACTTAAATTAAGAATTTCTTTGGTGCCCATACCGGGGACCGAACTCAGGTTGTTCGAGTATATTGAATTAAAAGCGAGCCCCCGGACAATGAGCTATCACTACACGGGAAAATATAAGGTTAATATCCAAAAGTTTTGTAAATATCGAATATCATTCGTTTTATATCTAATTCGAATAGAAATAAGTGAAAAGAAGAAATGGTACATTAGTACACGAATTTACAATCCATTTAAACACCTGTTTAATGTCTAGTAAAAACATTTCAAAGGTTATATTTCCACCACGCGGCATTATTCTAGACTAACAATATTTCATGAAATACTGTGTAGCAATTAAAC